TGAAATCACTGCTCGGGAGCAGTAACATTGCCAACAGGAAGTGAATCCCATCACAGCGTCTTTCGAATGACCGTCTGCGTCCTTGCTGCCTCACCTGGTGCTAAACCACCCGCACGGCTGCTTCCCGTCTACACCCGCGGAGCTAGAAACACCACTGCCCAAGGCACTTCCCCTGTGGCACCCACGGGGCACTAACCCACAGTGCACAGCCCACCGCAGTCCACTCGCGAGAAGGAACCTTAAGTCAGGGCCCCGAGAAGGCGCGCCCCGCCAAGCTCCTCTGAAGACCCCAGGATGGCAATCTTGCCGATGACGAAGCCGCCCCACAGCAAGCCAAGCCGCTGTTCCCAGCACCCTGGGCTCTATGCCTCTCCCTGGCCTGGCTGATTATGCTCTTCAGGGTGGCAGCAAGGCTGCGGCCCCCCGCTCCCGTCACTGGGCCTGGCCTGTGTGTCCGGTCCGCCGCCACTGTCTGGGGCAGCTTCCTACCCTGACCCAGCACCGAGGCATCCTTTGAGGGCGAGAGGGGGATTTCCTTCTTTTCACAATGTGGGCACTTACTCAAAGACAGAGCTGGGCCTCAAGGGGGCTTGGGGCTTTGGTTGTTTGTTTCTTGGGGATTTTTGGTTGTTTGAGACAGGGTCTCTCTGTATATTCCAGGCTGGCTTTGAACTCACTGTGTAGCCCTGGCTGGCCTCAAACTCACAATGATCTTCCTGCCTCAGCCTCCCAAGTGCCAAAATTGTAGGTGTGCAGCACTGTGCCTGGCAGGGCTCTACATTGCAATAAACTGAGCTCTTATGCATCTGCATGCCTGCGGGGGGGGGGGCTGGTGTTTTGTTATCTTTGTTTTCAAAATCCTGAGGACTTTTTTTGTTCAAGAAAGCAAATGGCTCTATGACCCTCAGCAAGATTCTGTCTCTCTTTTGAGAAGCAGACTCACAACCCCATCACCGAGGTCTGGATAAAGTGCACAGCGACAACATGGGACCCAGACCTGAACAGGTGTTCGGCCCTGCGCGTGGAAATCCGTCTCAGGTTCTCAGTCAGGGGCGGTGGGCTCCTGACTTCAAGGAGAACCACAGGGCACCAAAGGACATCGTAACACCCAGTCCTCCCCTCAGTCAGCCTCTCCCCTCACAGGCCGGGGCTCCCAGACCGTGTCTGGCATCTGCTCCAGGGAAAAGGTGAACACACCACCGTGCCCTTACCAAACTCCCTGCCGGCTGTGGACACTGGGGGCCGGCGTCTGCGCTGTCTCCCCTCTCCTCCCACACGTTCCTGTGGCTGGATCCTCACCTTATCCAGATCTTAGCTCAGATTTCTCCTCCTCAGACAGGGCTTCCTGGCCACCAAATCTAGAAATCTAAAAATGGCCACCACCCTCGAGCTTCCATAAATCTGCCCAGAACAGAATCTGCCATGCTGGAGTCAGACACAGACTTGTCGGCAAGGAACACTAGGCAGAGAGCAAGCCAGACACCCTCCCTCGGCGTGTAGCTGGGTCAGAAGTTGAATCTTCATGGCAGAGAAAAGCAAATTCAGCCCTTACTATTGTCCAAAAGAATAGGAAAATAGGGACACGTAGGCTTATGAGATTTTAAAAACTAGATATATAGCTAGGAAGAAAAGGTGAGCACTCCATTCTTCAGCAAAACAACCTAGCATACACACTAAAACCTTCACAGTATTTAAACTGTTCGACCCAGGGATCCTAAGTCTAGAATCTGCCCTACAGAAGTGATCAAGAGTTATAAATAAGATGTTCATTGGTACTACGTACAGTAATGGAAAATGAAAAGCTGCTACATAGCCATTAAAGAATCTCCATAGAGAAACAAACCAAATGTCTTTGGGTGCTGGTGGCCAATCTAAAGGCGGGCTATTATGCAACAGAACAGCGTTCAGCCTTAAAGAAGAACGGTATTCTGACACATGCCACAGCATGAATCAACCTTGCTGATACTGCACTAAGTGAAATACGCCAGACAGGAAAGGACAAACAAACGTGTGGTTCCTAAGAACTCAGGAGTAGTCAAAACCACAGAGACAGAAAGTAGAAATAGTGATGGCCGGGGCTGTGCTGGGGAGTTAGCGTTTAATGGGCATGCAATTTCAGTTTGGGAAGATGAAACATTCTGGAGGAACAGTGGTAGTGGTCACATAACAATATGAACATATTTAGTGCCACGGAACTGCACGCTTTAAAACGGCTACAGTGGTAAATTTTCCTCTATGTATTTAACCATTATAAAAAAAAAATGGAAGCAAGAAAATTCTCAGTATGGGAGAAATAGTCAATAATATTGTTTATTTTCTGTAAAAAAAAAAAAAATCACTGTAAGCTCAAGCAGAGAAGACAAGATTGGAAAGATATTCCAAACACAGACTGTTCGTAGACATTATCTCTCAGTGGGATTATGAGTAATACCGTCCTTCATACTTTCCCGTATTTCCAAATGTTCTAAATAAATATGTAGCATTTTTGTAACTAGGAAATAAAATAAAATTTAAAAGCCCTCTTCCTACAAGTCTGTCTTCTACTCTACACTGTTATTCCGGGAACAGCAGAGATGACTGTCTGTGAGTGTGGGGTCTCTGCATTCCCGCACCGCAGCCTGTGTGCCCAGTAGAATATCAGTGCCAGGAGAAAAGATTCTCTGCGCTGTTCTTGCTGCATCCTTAATTCTTGAACATTCCCAGGTACTTAATGGACACTCTATAAATACTTTAGTGAAAAAGAATGAGTCAACCAATTAATGGATGAATAAACAAATAAATAAGTCACCGTCAGTGTCTCCATCTGTCCCTGCTGCTATAATAAAACTTGTTAGACTGGGGGATTTATAAATAACAGAAACTTATTTTTTTCGTAGTTCTGGAAGCTGGGAAGTACAAGATCATGACAGCAGTAAATTCAACATCTGGCAAAGGCTCTCTCTGGTTCATAGATAGAGACTCTCGCACAGCCTCACATGACGGAGAGGGCAAAGAGCCCCCTCACACCTCTCCTACAAGGGCACTGTCATGGTTTAGATCTTTAAGCCCTCCCTCCCACACTCTCTCATGTTCAGAGGCAGGGCTTTTGGAAGGTGATTGGAAACCAGGGGCCTTGGACTGGATTGGTCCATGGATGAGTTCTTAGCTGAAGGTGCCGGCAGGAGGTGAGGCTGTTTGGAGGAATGGCTCATGAGGCTTCTCGCTTCTCTCTCTGCTTCCTTCCTGCCATGACTTGCGCAGCTTTCCTCTGTCCGGGCCCTTCCACCATGCTGCTCCTGCCTGGGAGCCAGCCAGCCATGGACTGACTCCTCTGAAACCGGGAGCCAGATAACTCATTCCTTCTTGAAGCTGCAGGCTTTGGGTATTTTGCCCCATCGATGGGAAAGTGGCTGATAGAGCACTAATACGTCTGTGCCTTCACAACTCAATCACCACCTAAGATCTCAAGTTGTAATGCTATCATACACTTGATTAGGTGCCAACATACGAGCGGGGTGCACAATCAGACCATCGCATTCAGGTTAGGACAGTGGCCATGCCTTTGTTCTGTGCCCTCATCCCAGAAACTTGGGACATCAACACTTTTTCCTGACTTTAGGGTGCTCAAGATTACAAGAACGGTTTTCTCAGAGTAAGGATAATCAGAATGAAAAAAAGCCTCAAATGTCTCCAAAATATTGTAAGGTTTACAGGATGAGTAGACTAGAAACCATGAAGATAACCAAAAGGCCTAAAAATGGGAAAGTGAATCCAAAAAAGAGAAGAGGTATTGTCGCTGTCTCGAAATACTGAAAGTACAGCCAGGAAGAACCTGCATTTACTCAGTAAATATCCACCAAGCCTCTGCCATGTTCCAATGACTGAGGCAGGAACCAAGAGCATCCCAAAAAATGGGATTAGATTTTGTGTGTTTGACTCCAGAAGACCAAGGGAGAGAAGTCTGGAAAGAGATCTGAATGCATCATAAGGCAGAGTCCAAATCAGTACTTCTTAAAGTACACAACACAAATGCTAGGGATGTGTGGATGGTTCATTTCACTTATACGGAAAAAAAAAAACAAAAAAAACCAAAAAACTCCTGGTCTAAATTTTAGAAAGTTTTTGAGATAAAGTTGGACTCTTTAAACTTTAGCACAGGACCTCTCAGAGTGCTTAATGTGCCGCTGTATTCTCTGATCCTCCTCAAGAGCGATAGGTCCTGCTTCTCAGATGCCGCTTCACAGGCGCTTGTCGTAGGCATGGGAGTCCATGAGATAGGCCCAAGGGCACATCACCCTCCCTGCGCGGTGAGAGCATTTACCTGCAGGGGAGAAGTGGCCTGCAGCCCCAGCCCCAAAGGGACTCCAAGACTCCGGCCTTCACTGAGTCCTCTGCCTGTCTGACCCCTCTCTCCCCCGCCCTCACCTCGTCTTCAGCCTCCACTTCCACACTCTTTCCATCCTTGCTTTGAACTTAGCTTTGATGAACCACCCTACTGCCGCCTTCTACCTGAGCTCTGCCTAGCAAGGATTCTGACTTCCTCCCCTGAGCTACGCAGGGCCACCCTGGCAAAGCTCCCCCTGGTTCACGTTTTCTGCCCAGCTCACTACACAGGAAGGAGGGAGACCCAGACGAGCACTGGGGGCGGGGAGGGCACACACAGGGGCAGCTTGGGCATTCTGATGTTCAAATGTCTTTTCTGCTCTTATTTCCAGCTACCCCTTGGACGGGTCTGAAATTCTGTAATGCCTATTTCTAGGAATGATTTTAAACACTCAGGTACCTGGGGAACCAGCTATTTCTGTAGACTGAATTATCTTATTCTATGTAACGTGGGTGCTTTGCAACACGGATAAATGAAACAAAGCCACTCACGCAAGCTTGGTCCCTGGGGCAGGTGCTGCCTCCAGCAGAAGAAAACCCCACCGTGACTCTGCAGGCTTGCATGACATCCCTGCAGGAGAAACTACTACAAGAGGAAGCTCCAGCCCCTGAAGTCACTCCAAGTTTTGTCCTCTTACCTTGTAACTTGAGTTCTCATTCCAAAATCCAGGGACCTCATTGATTGCAGCACTTCAATGCAGCCCATGTACTAGAATAAGAAGAAAAAAAGAAGAACAAGTAGGATAAAAATAGCACCAGGCTTTTTCTGCACTACACAGGGACTTCCTGGGAAACAACTTCAATCAGCTCCTCTTATTGAATTACATTTGCCTATTCTAACGACCGTTGATATTTCCGACCATTAATGGGCACAGGCCTTATGCCTCAGGCCAGCTATAAGACATCAGCTAAATCCAAACTATATTAGAAATGCATAACACAGCCAAAGGGGAGTGGAGAAGAATGGAGGATCTTTCCATTCTGCTGGAATGGAAGAAGAGCAGTTACGAGTGTGGTTAAGAGCGAGGGCTCGGGGGCCAGACAGTGCAAGTCTGCATCCCGCTCTGCCCTTTCTTTCCTGTGAAAACTCAGCCAACTGTTCACCTTTTCTGCATCACAGTTTTTGTCATTGCCAAAACAGAAATGCAGGTAGAATCATTGTAAGAAGTACCTTATTTCATACATGTAAAGCTTTTAGAACATACAGTTCTAGAAGCTTTACATGTATGTTCTAAAAGCTCTAATGTATGAAATAAGATGCATGCATGCATGTATGTATGTGTGGATGCATATGTGTGGATGCATATAGAGTTGCCCAAATATTAGGGGAAGGAAAAATAAATCTGAGACAAATAATACAAGGTTATCCAACCTTCTAAGAAGCTATCACGAGCATATAAATGCAGAGCGCATGAAATGTGGTAACATAAGATTTTACCATCTTTTGCAAGACCATGGAACTAGTGAGACAGGTGAGCAAAGGAAGAGAGTCCTGTCCCACACCAGGCACTGTAAGTTCGGCCTGAACACGGAGCATCGGGAGAGGAACTGTGGCTTACGCAATGCAAAGGCAGCTTCTGTGTGTGATGTGAGCCGGGGGAGCCACACGGGGCTGCTGCGATCGCCTGACACTCGCGGGCTGGAGGAGGCTGCAGGCAGCAGCGGCGGGAAGGTGGGGCATGTGAGGGGAGCAGTGCAGATGCTCCATGGGGAGGAAGTCATGACGGCCCACACGCAGGGTGGGCAGACGCAAGTGACATCACGGAAACAGACACTACTACGCGCTCTGCTCTACAGTGAATGTGACTGGGAGAATGGGGCGGGGATGAGTCAGGCTGAGTCAGACCCTCCCCGCCAGGGTGGCCGAGGGAACAGCAATGCCAACCACAGCCCAGGGAGCCAGGAAGGGGGAGATGATGAATTGCCTTGAGACCTGCTGACGCGACACCAGTGGGGTGGCCAGGAAGTAACAAGCTGGCAGCTGGAAATTGCATTCTGTCTCCTGGAGATGAGCGAAGCCCAGGGACTCAGGCTTAGCCATTGGCGGGGCTCAGCCAGGCAGGCAGCAGGAGGAAACCCTCTCCGCAGAGCCGGGGCAGGTTTCTCTGAGACACCTGGGCCACGTCAGGAGAGCCAAGCCATCTGGCTCAAGGGGACCCGTGGCTTCTTGGAAGGGTCTCACCTCCTGGCGCGCTTTCCTTTGGAAGCCTTCCAGCCTCCTTCTGCTTGAAAATGGTCAAGCACCCTGGAAGGAGGGCAGGAGTAGGGGACAGGGCTCTCCCCAGACACTTCTTACAGTGTTTCTCAGGAGGTGCTGCTGACTTAGCTTCCTGAGAGTAGCTCAGCACACTCTACAGCCCATCTAGTCTTTGTTCAGGACCCCAAGAACCTGGGGTCCTGGGCCTGGGGACAACACGCTGGCCTGAACCTTCTCAGCCAGACCCGTTAGCCACGCCCCTCCTGAGATCTCCCCGACTGGCCCAAGAAACATACTGGATCTCGGCTCTGTCCCTGCCCTGTATTTCCCAGGGCCTGGGTACCGCAGGGAAGTAAGTGATATCTACAGATTTCTTTAGCGTAAACCTTAAGGCTTACTTGGAGAAGGAAGCCAGGTTTAGGGGTGCTAGGAAGGGTACTAGAAAGCCCATTTCAAAAACTGTCAAAAGAGGATCTGCCAAGGGCCTGAGCCCCACATCCATCCCGGTGGGTGGAAGACTGTGGCCTCCTCGGCCACTCAGCTCCTCCTGCCCTTCACCCCCCTCCCACTCCAGAACCTACTCTGTCTCCCTGTGGAGGCAGGAGATAGAGCAAGGCCAGGTCAGTAACAGAAAGCCAGGAGACACAGACCAGGAATCCAGACGGAGTAAGGACAACTGGGTCAAAATATTAAAAATCCAGTAGATAAAGTACAGCCTGTCCTCCAAGACCCCCAGGCATGCACAAGCCCGAGAGCACACAACCCTGGCCTGTGTCCAACCTCATCTGCGCTGCAGTGATGGGTGGAGCCAGGTACCCACGGGACCATGACTCCTATCTATCCCGAGTGACAGATCCACTCATAACCCAAGACCTCAAGAGACCCAGTGCCCGCCTCAGAAAGCTCTTCCCCTGATCTGCTCTCACCCCGTGGGGCGGACCTCACTTCTCTCACTTACTCTTGCAAACTTTTTAAGTAGCCCTTACTCTTGTTAGTCTTTCTGAGTGTCCTGCTCCTCTTTGTTCAGGACAGGAAGAACCTGAGAACAGCTCCCCAGCGACTGCCCATCCGATAACACCATCTCCTACACTCGAGGTTCTGGGAAGAATGGACTGCCCACCCAGGGTGGGGAGCGTGTCTGGGCCACAACCACAACTGCCCCAGGACACCTTGTTGGTGCAGAGTGAGTGTCATCGTTATCTTTCCCTGCAGCTAAGTCACACGTGAGTTTATCAGTGCACGCAGGTAACTAAGCACCACATCACACTCTGGACAATGAGCTCCCATCACTGCTCACTTGCCTGACATCTAGCACCGAAGCAAACTCATCACTGTAAACCCCCAGGCCCTGGTTTTCTGGCGCCCACTTACCCCTCCAGCCTCATCCCTCACTCTCCTCACCTGGCTTCCTTCCATTCCTCAGATCCACCCAGTTCTTCCCAAAGGTAGGGCCTCGGCACCTGCCGTCCTCTCTGCCTCTCTCTTCCCTCTGCTCTGCAGCTCTGATTCTTCTTTCTCCTTCAGGTTCCAACCTAAATGACACCACTCACAGGTCCCTCCCACCACCCTTTATTACAGCCCAGTTTATCACCATGTCACTGAAATACCGGGTTTACTTGGTAATTTGCTTGTTTATTCCTTTGGTTAGGAACATCCTAAGAGAAAGACTGACCACCATCCCATTCCCACCACCTGGCACCTTCTGGGTATTCCATAAACTGGCTGAAAGCATGGGGACAGCATCTAGTGTCCAGCTCTACCACGTCTTTAAAATGAGCTCAGGAGGCAGGGGCGGGGTGAGGCTGAGGGAGCAGAAGCTTTGAGCAGTCTCTGCACCCCAGCGAATGAACAATAGGAGCACCCAGGTCTCAAGAGGAGACTCAAGCACCACAGGTCAGGATGCTGCCTGTATCGGTCACTTCTCTGTTGCTGGGACACAACACCCAACATCTACAGCTTAAAGGAGGAGAGTTTTACTCTGGCTCACAGTTTCCGAGGATTCAGTCCATGGTTGGCCGGTTCCAAGGAAGAAACAGCATGGTGGAAAGGTGAGGTGGAGAAAAGTGTCACATGTCACAGCAGCTGGGAAGCAGAGAGAAAAGGGAAGAGCTGGGGACAAGAATAGACCCTTCCAAGTCACACCTCTAACCAGGCCTCACCTCCTAATAGGATAGGAACTACTAAACTCATCCACGAGTGAAGCTACTAATGAGTAGGCTGCCCCATATCCAATCACTTTCCAAACACATGAGACTCAGGGACATTTCAGATCTAAACCACAACACTACCTTTGGCAGCTTTGTCAATGTGTCAGTAATTCACCCCACGTGTGCTGTGCTTGGTGTCCCCCCTTTGAAGGCTAGTACAAACAACCTAGATGGAGGGATGGGCAGTGAAGCAGGAAAGAAGGCCCCTGCCTCCTTATTCCTCACCAGTGTCAGGCGGGGGACGGAGCCAGCCCTGGACAACCCAGTGGGTGGTGGAAGTTCTAGGAGAATGCGCTGCACTCTGAAGAGCTGGGGGACAGGCGGACAAGGGAGCCAGCTAGGACAGGGACGCTCCAAGGCTGGCAAGGACCAAGGCCCATGTGAGAGATAGTGTCGGTGTAGGGACAGCTTGCAGCCCAGGGAGATGAGCCACTAAGGTGGCATTTGGTTTTCAATGAGGATGGGGTTCTCAGAGCTTTGGGGGTGAGGAAGAGAGGGTCCCCAAGGCTTGTCCTAGTCACACTTCGCGGCAATAATCGCCATCGCCAGGCAGGGCCCTGGGATCCCCTTCCCTGCCGGCTAACCTGTCTTGCCACACTTGTCCGTCAGCAGCCCCACCGGTGACACCTTCGACCGCCCTCGCCGTCACCCAACACAAGTTCTGAGACGGTCGGAGCTGACGGCAGTGGGTGCAGTTCCCCAGCGACAGCGACTGAAGCCGCAATGACCCCAAAGCGGGAAGGGAGCTGGTCTTCCCGACTGCGCAACCCGTTTTATTTAAAGCCACTGTAGTGAGGAGTGGGGAGGGGATGGTGCTTTAAAGGGATCTGTTCACTGCCAAGTGAGAGCCGCATAAGCAGAGTGGCTGGTATCGAGGCCCCAGGGAGGGAAGCTCAGTGCATGCGATACAAACTGCAGGAAGAACACCCCCATTCACTTATTAAGTGCTGGTCGACGTGAAACGCGATCTCTGTTCTCAAAAAGCTGGCTGCGTAAAGACAGAATGGCCAGGGAAAGAGAGGACCTATCTGTTTTCACGAGGCAATCCATTGGTCTTAGCTGCACTTAATAGATGAGGAGATTAAAGCCTATGAAAGGGCTGGGCCTGGCCCCGTTTCATTATTCACCGAGTCTGAATTAGGTCCCGTGGCTGGGACCCTGTAGGACAAAGTGAGAAGTGGGCGGGGTGTCCAGCAGGCTCTTGCTTGTCCTTCCTGTGGGCCACACCCACGAGAGTCACTCTGGGGAGACTGGGGCCACAATGGGCACAGCAGACAGAAATTCAAGATGCTCTGGGGAGAGCGG